CTAGAATTTTAGAGCTTCCTAAGTTTTTCTCAGTTTCTTTTGTAAATTCATTGATTTTACGGTTGTCTATCAATGTCTTCTATGAACCGGAGGCCAACAGACAGCACCCCCAACAGTCCTGCCACTATGATCCACCCCCAGGCTTGGCTAGCCCTGGGTCACAGGCACACATGTGCCTGGCATGCTCAGGGAAGTCTCCTGGCGTGAACCTGGAATCTTCCTACATGAGTCAGCCTCACAGGGCCCTATACCTTACTGTTGTGCTACCATCTGGCCCGGTTCCTGGTTTACTTCTTAGGGAATACCCTTCTGTCTTAGAACCCTAATCAGTTGCTGAGACCTCTAAGAGACCCTTGTTCCTTTCTGCAGTGATGGAACATAACTGTGACTCTTCAGACTCCAGTGACAATGAGGCACCCCCAGAAGCCTTGGGTTCTGCACGGAGGAGGAAACTTGGTGAGAAAGGTAAGGACTGCCAACCCTGGCTCCGGACAGCAGGAGGCTGCGGTCACAGCTCCCGTTTCCTGGTGTGTTTCACTCTGGACACACACCACAGCCATGGTCCTGTTTGAAAAATGCCAAGAAGGAAATCAATATATACATGACTTAATAAGGTGGCCGTAGCTGAATGTAGTGCCCTTTTCCCGGCAGACTGCCAGAGCTGTTAGCTCCCATTATGACAGATTTCGGTAGTAATGTTCTTCTCTGCCTATCCCCTACTCTGTAGAGAAGAGAAAGTGAGTAGTCTGCTATTGCTAGATTTTGTCATAAAACTTGTTTGAAACTCAAAAGACCCTGGTCATCCTCTCTAATTGTCAACACAAATGTTTCCAACTATTACTTTAATATTCAGTTTGTAGTTTTGGACAGGTAACCCCCAACACATCATTAGCCAAACAGTGAGATTTGGGCAGGTCTTCCCAAGCAAGATCTCCTCTTTCTTTATGACACCCCGAAAGGTAGGCAAGAGTAACTGCTACTCCCCCAACTTTGAAGGTGAGGAAACTCCAACACATACACATTTAAGGGTCTTTTCCACACCATGTATACAAAGGTACTGGAAGAGGTGGGGTTAATAGCCCCACCTCCCAGCAAACATCCATAATCCATTCAAAACCTTCAAAGCCAGATGTACTTCAATTTATTTCATTATTTTAGAAGACAATGTGGTGTATAGTCTATATATTACAAAACACTCTAATAGGGTCTAGGGCAGAATCCCATTCTCAAATATATGCTATTAATGTTTCTACAGCACACTGTATGAATAGTCACACAAAATGTGATAAAATTTTACATGAACTCATGGTGGTACAAGTTCAGATTCATTCCCAAATTAGCTAGCTGCAACTCATGGTTTAAAAAAAATTGGCTTTCTAAATGTCTTTGATTTTGCAATTAGGTCTAAAGGATTGCAGGCCTCTGTTCCTTTTGGTATGGATCTCTTTACTTCCGATAAGAAGAAACAGAAATGGTCATATTAGTGTCCTTCTAGCCTAAGTCCTTTCTACAGTGGAAGTAATCGTAAGATTCATGACCCTCTTAGTTACAGCTCACGAGTTTCATTCTTCTTTACTTTCCAGATCCTGTGGGTGATGGAAACACATTTATTTGGAGGATGCGCAATGCGAAAAAATGTAAGAGCAATTAAACACTCTTGATGTTAACAAATATCTTTCTTTGCTACAAAAGTTTCATTCAAGTCTTTGTGTTATATTCTTTAAAAATTAAAACAACAATTTTGTTGAGATTTTAGATGATTGGCATTATACTCTTTAAGCTAGGTGGTATGACATGTAGGCCTTATGAAGCCCGAGAACACAAGGTCATTACAAGCTTATTCGGTACTCACATAAATAGGATAAAGCAGTTCCTGGGTAGCAGTGATGTTCCACTCCACCCAGTCATCTAGGGCCTTGCTGATGGAGGCACTGACACCTTAAAAAGTTGTTTCAACTGGTACCAGCAAATGGCATAATGAGTTACAGTGCTGGACCTCCACGTAGTCGACCGTGGTTTGAGTCCTGGACCCGGCAACTTGAAATTCACACTGGGCATGTGTGTGTGCATGCCCAAGATCCCGAAAAGAGAATGGAGGAGAAGGGATTGCAGCATAGCCATCTTCCCTAGTGGGTGATTTTTCACTTTCTGTCTCTCTGGTAAGAGAGCTTCCCAAATTTTGTGCCCTATATCAATGTTGCTTCAATGATATACCTGGTGAAAAAAACAAACAAACAAACAAAAAAAAGGTGGCTGCAGAAGCATGTGCAAACAAGTGGGGAAAGTAACAAATTAAAAAAGGAGACAAAAGGCAAGACCTGCCATGGAAAGTTGGCTCGGCCTCAGCCTGGGGGATGGGGCCTGAAGCCACCTTGGCCAACAGATCAGATGCTGCCAGAAGGTCACCTGGCGATAGGAATAGCCCTACCCCTCCTTCCTGAGCTTCTCTTTTCCAACTTTCCCTCTAAAGAATTTCTTGCTGAATTGGTTCCTAAGACTGTGAAGGAATTTTATTTTTTTCTACAGGGATTGGCAGTGGTGATTCTTCAGAATGGAGTAACAGAGAAGAGTCTTGGGAAACCTGTAGCTCAGCCCTAAGAAGTGGGTCAGGTAAAGAAGATTAGCATGACCAGCCTTGACCTCCAGGATTTAAGGAATCTGAAAACTGCTGTTTCCTGAAGCATTTCATTCTGAGCACCTTGACTGCTTTGTATCCAGTTAATCCCGGGAACTCCTTTTTGGCCGTTTGGAAAAACGGAAGGAGGCAGGAGATTATTATAAACTCATGTCTAGCAGGATGAGTAGTAGTAACCGAATGTGTATGATTCTATATTGTAGAAGGAATAAATAGCACATGACAGGATCTTTTAACATCCACTTTTGTGCCTATGAACACTACAGTCTTAGACTTCTGTGATAGCTTGGTTGCCATCCATGGCATTTTTACTTTTTTTTTTTTTTTAATTTGCCATAGAGTGTGTGTGCTTGCCAGAGAGAGAGAGAAACAGAGAGAAAGAAAGAGAGAGAACATGAGAAAGCAACCACAGAAAGGATGGCCACACCGCAATCCTTTCTCCTCCATTTCCTCTCAGGACTTTGGCACGTCCATGTGCCCAGGGCACTGCTCAGCCCCTGGTCGGGGACTCTGCACAGACTGCCAAGTGGGACCCAGCTGCCCGACCACATCGCCAGCCAGCTCCACTTGTACTTTTGTAAAAGCTTCAAAAGAGAATTGTTCCTGTTATGTAATGATAGTCAGAAATAAAAGTTTCAGATCACTCTAACTTTAGTATAGTTGTTTTTTTTCCCCTGAGAGATTTTTGCTAAAGGGCGTGTGCACTCTCAGAGAGACAAAGAGAGACAGAAAGTGAGAAATCCCCCGCCAGGGCGGATGGCCATGCCACAATCCCTTCTCCTCTAGTCTCCTCTTGGAATTTTGAGCATGAACGCACACACGCCTGGCAAGAGTTTTAAGCTGCCGGGTCTAAGACTTGAACCACAATCGACTATATGGGAGTCCAGTGATGGAATCATTACTCCATCTGCTGGTCCCACCTTCAGTATAGTTTTTGATAGACTCTTTACCAGGTAATTAGATCACAGTATGGTATGACAGCGTATTTGGCAAATAAGGTTGTATTTCATTCTCAAAATTCTGAAGATTTTCCAGGTTTGTTTTTTTGTTTGTTTTTGTTTTTTTAAGTTTTGCCATTGAGTTCTTGTGCTTTCTGGAGATGGGAGAGAGAGAGAGAGAGAGAGAGAGGATGAGAAAGCACCCCTGAGGGGAGATGACCACAGCAAATCCCTTCTCCATTCTCCTCTCGGGATTTGGGGTGTGCACACATACATGCCCGGTGTGTTTTCCAAGCCTCTGGGTCTGAGCCTTGAACCACACAGTTGGCTACATGGGATCCATCCATCTTGACCACCACACCACCTGCTGGCTCCAAGCAAGCTAACTCTTGCTAGCTCCAGTTTGTAATGAGGAAATTGATGTACAGATGTATAAGAAAAATAGTTAAAGGAACAAGAGGGACTTACAGCCAGGCATCGCAAGGTGGTGTATTGCACGTGACTGTTGTACGTAGGAGACGGGAAGGTGAGAGCTGTGACACGTGACTGTTGTACGTAGTAGACGGGAAGGTGAGAGCTGTGACACGTGACTGTTGTAGGTAATAGACGGGAAGATAAGAGCTGTGACACATGCACCAGAGTCCGCAGAGGAGACGGAGGAACCCGGGTGTTCACAGGGGCCTGTTTCAGGGCCTGATGCAAATCAGTTGTTTAATGACTGCGTGTTTGTAGATGTGTGTGTATGCGTATCTGTGTGCATATGCACACACACACTTATGTACCTGTGTATGTTCATTGTGTATAACATGCATGTGTATAGAGACACGTATACGTACGTATAGTCATTATGTACTACACACACAGTTTGTCGATAGAGAGGAGAAAGGGGACTCACAGAGGCAGAGCGGGTGGGAGTAGACCCACCTGTCTGACACACATACAAAAGACTAGAATGGGAGAGCCTAGAAAGAACACAGAGATAAAGAACAGAGATAAAGAACATCATTGACGAAAAGAAAAAAGGCAACACAGGAGACAAGAAAACCCTTGGGGAGAGAAACCCTCCAAATCAAAGAGAGAGGTAGAAATATGTGGAGAGATGCAGTATTAGAAAAACGAGAAATAAGGAGACTGGGGTGTGGCCGGACAGAAGGGAGGGAGCAGGCCTGTGCTGGTGGGAGGCCCGGTCACTGCGGGGTGTGTGTGTGTGTGTGTGTTTTCCTCAGCTCCTCTGAGTTCTGAGCATAGTCAGCACGACCAGCCGAGGTGTGTTTTCTGCTCACGGTCTGTAGTCTTTCATTTCCTTATTCTCTTCAGCGTCCTCTGAATCCAGAGTTCTTCAACTTAATATAGAAAGAGAATCAGAAGAGAGGCCACCTACTAGCCTGTAATGGAGAATTCGTTATCAGTCATCTTTGTCTTTCTGTCTGCATGGAGGAAAACACTTCCTTCTTTTCCTTACCTTTCCCCCAGAACATAGACGTGTGCACCGGTATACATGTGTGCACACACACACATGACTTGTGCACGGACTTTTAACTGGTTTGGGGGAGCAAAAGGAAAAAGAGCCTCGCTTCTGCGTGGAGGAAGGTGACTAAGGGGTAGTGTAAGGAGAGGATGGGGAACGGCAGGAGGGGATCACCAGATGGAAAGATACCTGAGTAAGTTTCAGGTCGCTCTAAGCGGACATGGGATCCAAATATCCTGGGTGGAAGAGTTTTGAGGGGTAAAGGGCATATTCTCATGATACCTTTCTGGAATTTCACCAGAAACATGGAAATAACATCCATGGCACAGGGAAGGTCACAGGGAGCTGGCGAAGGGCATAAAGCTGACTGGTCAGTGCCACAGCAGGCATTTGATGAGGAGGACAGCAGCAGTCTGTCAGATGGTGAAAACACTGACAAAGACAAAGATCAAAATTGTAAAACAGCCAAGAGATGAAGGTAAGATAGAGCAAAGTAGAGCTAGAATCAGAGAGAACAAAGAGACAGTAGGAAAAGGATCACCCCAATAATAATACCAGGTCTAGAGATGTAGACATAGAAAGTCAGCTGGAATGAGATATATACAGAGGTAATAAATGGAGAAGCAGAAAAAGATGAGACACTGGGGCCAGCACATGGAGTACCGGTTACACCTCTGGACTCCCACATGGCCAACTGCGGTTCGAGTCCAGGACCCAGTGGATTGAAAATCACACCAGAGTCATGTGCGTGTATGCCCATGATCCCAAGAGGAGAATGGAGGAGAAGGGATTGTGGTGTGGTCATTCCCGCTGGAGGATTATTTCTCACTTTCCCTCTCACTGTCTCTGTCTCTGTCTCTCCCTCTCTGTGGCAAGCACATACACCTGAAGGCAAAAAAAATTAAAAAAAGATGAGGCACAATAACTCTGTAGAGGAAGAGTTGAAAGATGAGAGAAAAAGGGTAAGGAAAGGGGGCACTGTAAAATGGAGAGAGGAGAAGGAGAAATTGTGGTATCGTCGCGACCAGGAGACAGGAACAACTTTGGCACCAGGTATGGTTGGCAGCAGCAGTGAGTTTCAGACTCAGGTGTCCTCAGGTATCCGAAAGTTCCCTGTAACTCCTTACATTACTAAAGACATTGCCTCAGGTCGTCCATCCTCTCCTGCAAGTTCAGTCATCACCCAGAACCAAATGGTCCCTAAACACACATGCCCAGCCCCCTCTGTCTTCTCTGTCTTCTAAGCTTCAGAAAACATTCATCTTAGCTGGAAGACCTCTGTCCATGGTCCCGAAGGTCCTGGACTCTTCCTCTGGGATGTCTCTAAAGACTTTCAAACTTCAGGCCAGCTGCTGGCACTGAGCACATCCCTTTCCTCCCTAAAAGCAGCACCTGCTCCTCTAGTGTTCTCTATAAAACACGCTACCAGGTGACCTTTTCTTCACGTTAAAATCCTCAAGGTCTTCTATGAAAGGAAGGGAGTGATACAGTGAGGAACAAAGGACAAAGGTATTTTAGGGGTGGCGCCATCCTCTGATGTAAGAGTGGAGGCGGAAGTCACTATTGTTGGGAGAAAGAATCTTTGGAGGGGAGGGAGTGCAAATGAAAATATTTTACACGTCACGATTTAGGAGCAGAGCTACCAAGACCTGAAAATAAGAACTGTTCCTGTGTCATGTGTTCCACAGAAGATGTGCCAAGTGGCCAAGGAGCAAGGACTGAAAGCAGCTACGCACCTGACTTTACGGGTAAGGCTGCCCAGCGGTCTTGCGATGAGACAGTTCCGCAGATACCGCAGACACTGGGTAGGGCTTTGGCAGGTGAACAGAGTTCAAGGAGATCAGGCAAGGAGGAGAATGGAGGAGAAGGGATTGTGAGTGGGCCAGGCCCACTTCCTGAAGGCCGACTCGGGAAGTGGGCCTGCAGACCACGAGCTGCAGGATGTCAAGAGTGTGAAATCAGAGCCCCCATTTCCTACTTCGCTGGACTGTGATAAGGAGTGGGGCCAGCCCGTGCCAGAATCCTGTTCTCTGCATTTGCTCAATCTGACCCCTTTGGGAAATGAAAGAAGGAAAAAGATCATTAGAAACTCACTTAATTTAAATAGTACTTTTTCTATAGGGTGTGTGTGCTCACTGGAGAGAGACAGAGAGAAAGAGGAAAGGTAAAAAAAAAAATCACCCCCAGGGAACATGGCCAGACCACATTCCCTTCTCCATTCTCCTCTCTGGATTTTGGGCATGCACACACACACACACACACACACACACACACACACACATCGTGTTTCTCAAGCTTCTGGGTCCAAGACTCAAACCATGGAGTCAACTATGTGGAATCCAGCACCTTAATCACCATGCCACCTGCTGGCCTAAAAAGTGATGTTTAACAAGGTACACCCTGTTGATTATATGTGGATGACGTAGTAGAAACACACTGGTAAAGATGGCGGCATCTTTTACTCATCAACATATCAATACCACAGTGCCGAGTTTATACAGTGACTTCCACCTTTGTGGAACACAAAGCCAAGTATTCTTCTGTTGGTATCACTTAGGTATGACCTTGGAAAGGTCTTAAAAGATAAAAAAAAATGACCTTGGGAAACTACAGTAGTTCCCCTCATCCACAGTTTCATTTTCCATTGCTCATTATCTGCAGTCAGCCGTGACCCATACAATGTGCCCTCTCAAATCGTAACGAAAGGATGAGTACGGTACAATAAGATATTTTGACAGAAGGACTAGCAGATGGCATAATGGTTATGTTGCTGGACTCCCACGTAGTTGACCATGGTTTGCGTCCCGAACCCAGTAGCTTCAAACTCATGCCGACACGTGTGCCCAAGATCCCGAGAGGAGAATGGAGGAGGAGGGATTGTGGCATGGCCATCCCCCCTGGGGGGGGATTTCTTGCTTTCTGTCTCTCCGTTTCCCTCTGTTTCTCCAGTGAGTACATGTGCCCTATAGCAAAAATCTCTCTTTACAAAAAAAAAAAAAATATATATATATATATATATATACACACACACACACATATATATAATATATATATGTATATGTAATGTATATATATTTTTTGAGGGAGATTACATTTACAAAGCTTTCGTTATAGTATATTGTTATAGTTCTCTGTTTTATTATTAGTTATTGTTGTTAATCTCTTACTGTGCCTGATTTATAAATTAAACTTTTTCAAAGGTATATATGTATAGAATAACACTATGGTATATGTAGTATATATATACCATCTGAGGTTTTGGGCATTCTCTAGAGGTCTGGAAACATATCCTGTATTTTTAAACTCACTGTACAGTTTTGAAGGGTGCCCTCCAACATGTTATGTAGTTACTAACAACATAAATCAATATTCCTGTCTTTTTTATTTATTTTTATTTAGTTATTTATTTGCCAAAGGGCATGTGCACTTATGAGAGAGAGAAAAAGAACAAGAGAGAGAGAAGTCATCCTCCAATGGTGTTTAGTTATGCCGAAATCCCTTCTCCTCCCCTTTCAGTTTCCGGGCACACATGTATGCACTCCTGGTGTGTATTTCAGGCCACTGGAGCCAGGATTTGGACTGCAGTTAGCTATGTGGGACCAGCTCCTGTAACTGTTAAGCTATAGGGGCCGGCCTGTACAGTAATTCTCTACTGACATTTGCAAATAAAACCACCTCCTATTTTCCTAAAAAAATTAAAAACTGTCTGTGAATGAGGAAACTAGCGTGCATAAGTAATTCAAAACTTTTTCAAAAACTTCAGAGAAATACAGGAAGACTTTAGATATCAATTCCGTACTTGTCTGGTTCCTTTAAAAGGAAAGCAGAGAAATGATACACATCATTATCAACTCAAGCCTTCCACAGTGTGTGCTGTCATAAGATTTGTAACCTTTATTTTAAACCTTCGGCTCTCTGATCACTGTCTGTCACTTCCTAGATACCATGGATGTTGGAAATAATTCTACTCTGGGAAAACACAGTGGAAAAGGACATAAGAGCAAATAAGAATTACTTAGTCTTTATATTACAAATGAACCATCTTTTAATGTTAAGAGTTATTATCAGTATTTTCTATAGCTTTCATAAGACAAAAAATGAACGCTTTTTAAAGTAATTTATTATTACAAATACTCATATATTCATATTTCTTTCTATTGAGTCTAAAATATGTTTCTTGTAAGCATTTGTGTATCTTTCCAGAATTTTTCCATGCAAATATTGACATATTTTAGAACATTTTGTGTTTATCTAAGATAACTCTATACACACTTTTTCTTTTCTTGCTTTTTAAGATAACATGTCACGTCTAAACAATAAAAATTTAGTACTTTAAAAAACCTTTGCCAGAGGGTATGTGTGTTTGCCAGATAGAAACAGAGGGGAGAGGGAGAAAGCAACTGCCCCACGTGGCATGGTGATTCCACAATCCCTTTTTCTTCACTTACCATTCTATCAGGATTTGGGATATGCATGCAGATGTTCCTGGTGTGTTTCTTAAGCTGCTGTGTCCAGCACTTGAACCATTTGACCAGCCATGTGGAATCTGGCTCTCTTAACTATCAAGTCATGGGGCTAGTTCTATAACTTTTATTTTTTATTCTATTGAATTTTGTATATATTTATTTATTTATTTATTTATTTATTTATTTACTTACTTACTTACTTACTTACTTATTTTGCTTTAGGGTATGTGTACTCACCGGAGAGACACAGAGAGAGAGGAAAAATGAGAAATCACCCCCTGGGTGGGATAACCATGCTGCAATCCCCTCTCCTCTATTCTCCTCTTAGGATTATGGGCATGCAACATGCCCAGTGTGTTTCTCGAGCTGCCAGAACTGAAAACTTGGACTCGAATGGCACATTCAGCCATATGGCATCCAGCTGCCTTAACCACCATGTCTCTGGCTGGCCCCAGCCCTACAGCTTTTAACTGAACTACAGTCTTGATTTCTACTCCTCAACTCTCATCTGTCATCAGTCATCCCCATCTCGGTAAATGGCACCCTATCTACTCGGTTGCTCAAGCCAAAAATGTAGGAGGCATTCTTGATTACCAGCTTTTCCTACACTCAACATTCTCTCAGTCATCAGATTTCAGAACCAAATATCAAAGCGGTCCATTCTTTATCTGCCCTGCCACTATTTCAGTTGCTGCTGTCTTCCATGGAATCCCACAGAGCCTTCCTAATGTGTCTTCCTGCTCGAATCATTACCCACCTAGAATTCATTTACATTCAATAACCTGCCACCCAATTCCCAATTGCATAGGCCCTTTCTTTTTTTTTTCTTTTTCTTTTTCTTTTTCTTTTTCTTTTTCTCTTTCTTCCTTCCTTCCTTCCTTCCTTCCTTCCTTCCTTCCTTCCTTTCCCTTTCTTTCTTTCTTTCTTTCTTTCTTTCTTTCTTTCTTTCTTTCTTTCTTTTTTCTTTCTTCTTTCTTTCTTTCTTTCTTTCTTTCTTTCTTTCTTTCTTTCTTTCTTTCTTTCTTTTCTTTTCTTTCTTTTCTTTCTTTCTTTCCCTCTCTTTCTTTTTTTAGAGCTTTTTGCCATAGGGTGTGTGCACTCAATGGAGAGACAGAGACAAAAAGTGAGAAATCACCCCCTAGGGAAGGATGGACATGTTGTAATGCCTTCTCCTCCATTCTCCTCTTGGGATTTTGGGCACACACACACACAAGTGCCTGGTGTGAGTTTTTTTAAGCCACCTAGTCTCAGACTCCAACCACGGTCAACTATGTGGGAGTCCAGCGAAGTAAGCATTACACCACCTGCTGGTCCCTGCAATGGTTTCCTACTGAACCTAGGAAAAAAAGTTTAAACTCCTTACCATGCCTACAAAGCATTACATAATCTCTAATCATGCTTTAAATCTCATTTCTTCCTCACTGTGACTCTGGCCTTTCTTGAACAAGCCAAGTAATTTTCTACCCCAGAGCCATTGCCATTTCTGTTGATACTGCACAAAATGTATCTCTCCAAGGAGGAATGGTTTATTCTTTTTCATGTTTCAGCTCAGTGGTCTTCACAGAGAGGACTTGCCTGATCACCATTTCTTAAAAAGCCTCCCAGTTTCTTTTGCATCATCCTTTGACATGTCTTTTCACCTGATTTACTATGATTTAGAGATACAGATTTTTATCTTCGTGTAATCTACCTAGATTATCTTTAATGATTATATTTTTCACTATTACTTAAGAAATCTTGATCTAACCTGAGGTCAACAGGATCTTTTCATTCCTTTTCTACTTTATTGGGCATCTTGATCAATGAATTAGATCCAGTGAATAAATCTCTCTCTTCTATTCCTAAAATGTACAGACCGGAACCAGTAGGTGGCATGGAGGTTGAGGCACCAGATCCCACATAGCACCTGTGTGACTGAGTCCCAAACTCAGTGGCTTGAAAATCCCACCAGTGTGTGTGTGTGTGCATGACCAGAATCCCAAGAGAAGGAATTGCAGTGTGGCCATCCTCCTGGAGGGGTGAATTCTCACTTCTCTCTCTTTTTCTCTCTGGTAAGCACACACACACACACGTATGTGGGTCGGGGGCGGGGGAGGACAGATTGAGGAGCATCATTCATGGTTCTTCAGGGGGCTTTCAGCAAGAATTGAAGCTCAGTTGATCACATTGGTGACCAACCCAACCGGTTTTCCTTTTACCTTTTCTCTCTTCCTGGTTTCTGTCTCCTGATCCTTGTGATAGCTTCAGAAATAAAATCACTAAGCACAAATCCTTATCTCAAGATCTGTTTTTGAGAATATCAGGCTAAGACACCCATATTTCTTTTCTGCTTTGTTTTGTTTAAATAGTTAATCCTTTTGGAAATGATCTTTTTTAAAATTTGCTATAGGACATATGTGTTCATGGTGGGGACAGGGCTGGAGGGAGGAAAGTGAGAAATACACACCCACACACACACACACACACACACACACACACACACCAGGAGAGAAGGCCACACTGCCATCACTTCTCCTCCATTGTCTCCTCAGGATTTGAGGCACACATGAACACATTCCTGGCATGTTTTTCAAACCACTGGGTCCAGGACTTGAACCGCACAGTCGGCCATGTGGGATCCAGCTACCTTAACCAATACACCTCCTAGTTAGCCCTGGAATTAATATTTTTAGTGTAACACAATGTAAAGGTATTTATGGCCTTTCTACTCTGGTGCATTGCTCTATCTATTCGGTTTGAGTACATATCACACTCTACTAAATATTATAATTTCGTAATATCAAGATAGTAAGTAGGGGGACCAGCAGTTAGCATAATGGCTATGTCACTGGACTCCCACGTAGTTGACTGTGGTTCACGTCCTGGACCCAGTGGCTTAAAACTCACACCGGGCACATGTGCGTGTGTACCCAAGATCCTGAGAGGAGAATGGAGGAGAAGGGATTGCGGCGTGGCCATCCCCCCTGGGAGGTGATTTCTCGCTTTCTGTCTCTCTGTTTCTCTCTGTCTGTCTGGTGAGCGCACACGCCCTATAGCAAAAACCTCTCCAAAAAAAAAAAAAAAAAAAGATAGTAATTAGGGCAAATTCTCTCAACTATTTTCTTTTTCAAAATTTTGTTAGCTATTATGTTCATTTTCTCATTCTTATAAATTTACTATAGTTTCATCAGTGCCTGAAAACCCCTTCCAAATTTTTATTGAAATTTCGTGTAATTAATTTGAAGAGAATTGACTTCTCTAAGATATAGTCTTCCTAGTAATGAACAGGAACTATGTTGCCATTTATTCTGTTTCTTTTTTAGATCCTTCATTCATTTATTCAACAAATATTTATTTCCAGAGCTTCTCAGCAGCGATAAAGAAGTGAATGAGATTTCATCAAGCTTATGTTTTACCAGGGGTATACAGACAACACACACACACACACACACACACACACACACATACACACATACACACACACACAACGTGTTAGGTGGTGATAATATTATACAGAGGGGAAAATAAAGAATAATGAAGGATGGGGCCAGAAGGTAGCGTGGTGATTGAGGCGCTGGATTCCCACATGGTTGACCACAGTTCAAGTCCCAGATTCAGTGGCTTTAAATTCACGCTGGGCATGTGTGCCCTAAATCCCAGGAGGAGAACGGAAGAGAAGGGTTGCAGCATGGCCATCTCCCCGGGGGGTGATTTCTCACTTTCCCTCTTACTGGAAACTGCATGTTCCCCATGACAAAAAACTTAAAAAAGAGTAATTGAGGTGTAGAGTGACAGAAATAGGCCATTTGATGTTGGGTGACCAAGGAGAGGCTCACTGACCAACTACATATATTTAAGGAACTAAGTGAGCTAAGGGACTAAGACAGGATAATAGCATTAGTGTTTCAAGGATACCTCTAAATTCCAGGAAGCGTACTTTGGGAATTCCCGGTATCTACTGCTGCTCACTGCCCCATCACCCCCTTAATACTCCCCTTCTGGAGACCAGCAGATGGCATAATGGTTACATCACTGGACTCCCATGTAGTCAAATATAGTTCGAGTCCTGGACCCAGTGGCTTAAAACTCATGCCAGGGGGCTGGCAGATGGCATGGTGGTTGAGACACTGACTGCAGTTCAAGTCTGAGACCCAGCAGCTTGCTTTCTGTGTGTGTGTGTGTGTGTGTGTGTGTGTGCATGTATGTGTGTGTTTCTCCATGGTCAAACTGAAAAACAATAATAATAATAATAAATAAAACAAAATAATTCTTTTTTAAAAAAAGCTCTAATGACCTGTCTTTAAAAAAAAAATTCACGCTGGGTGAGTGTGCATGCATGCCCAAAATCCCAAGAGAAGAATGGAGGAGAAGGAATTGTAGCATGGCCGTACCCCTGGGGGGTGATTTTCAGTTTCTGTCTCTCTGTCTCTCCAGTGGGTGCACGTGTCCTATAGCAAACATCTCTCTCTAAAAAAAAAGAAAAAAACCCTCCCCTCTGTCAGCTTCTACTTGATCTCAGCTCATTTTAAAATGTTCTTTATCATGAATGATAAAATCTCATATGTGAAGGTATAATGTCAATGCCTGGCATGTGTGGATACAGGTTGTTTTATGCTCATTCATTGTCCTCAGTTTAAAGACAATCAAGATGAAGTATTGGTAGCTAGCGATTTTATCCCACAAAAGTGGAATGAGAACTTGAAAATAAGATATTCGAAAGTTATTGGCATAACACTTGTAAATAGTTGTTTACCATCCTAAATAATTCTTTTCTTTCTTTTTTTTCGGTTTGAAGGTAAGAAGAGAAGACACATACATCAAGTCAACCATCTCAGAAGGAAGAAATGTGAGGGTTTGCTCCTTTGAGCTAGCTGTGGTCCTAATACTCCTGATATTCCTGCCAGACCCCATCTTGGTTGCAGCCCCCAAATCTCCTATGGGCCTTAATAGCTTCAGAATGGACTTTTTAGAGTACAGGCCAAGTCATTGTAACAGAGAGATCCCCAAATATGGTGGCTTAAACCAAATCATTTATTTCTGTTTCCTCTAACAGTCCAGAAGTGGTAGGAAAAAATCTGCCTTTCTTGGTGAGTGATTCCCATCTCCAGGTCCAGGAAGGCTGAACTGGTTGTCATTGTGGGAATGGAAAAACAAACAGGAGAATTAACCCTGCATTGCTTCCAAAGAAAGATCAAGTTTTCTGCTCGCATCCAATTGGCCCTGATGGCCAGAGCTAGCTGCAAGTGAAGCTGAGAAATAGCATCGCTGGCCAGGCAGTCAGAGCTCTTGTGGTAATCGTATTCTTATGGAAGGAAGAAAGGGTGATAGGAGTGACAAACAGCAGTCTGCTAGCTTGCCCTCCATCCAAAGCCACCAGCTCTCTCAAAAGAGGAGAAAACTCAGATTCTCCATTGGTTAATAACCGACCTTGTGACTTAAGACACTGTGGTACTCTATGGTAGCGACTGGAAAATTGGAGGACATAAAAGGACTGAAAATAGTTGTGAATGCTGGAGACAGTGTGGAAGGAGGGTGGGAGAGAAGAATGGAGGGAACATAACTAGAGAGAAAAAATAGAGAAGTAAGGCATTTGTGGGACACATAAATGGTTCATTACCTATTGATGATAATGTATATAGCAGTCTCAGCTGGACTGGTCTGAGATGTATTTCATGTTGGGAAAATTCACTCTACAAGCTAAATGATGTATAGCAATTGAATATATTAAAAACAATAATAGTAATAATAAAACACTGTGGCGGGACCATTAGTTGGAGTAATGGCTATGTCGCTGGACTCCCATGTAGTCGACCGCAGTTCGAGTCCTGGACCCGATGACTTAAACTCATGCTAGGCACATGTGCATGCGTGCCCAAGATCTTGAGAGGAGAATGGAGGAGAAGGGATTGCGGCGTGGCCATCCCCCCTGGGGGATGATTTCTCGCTTTCTGTCTCTCTCTCTCTCTTTCTGGCGAGTACACGCACCCTATAACAAAAACCTCTCCCAAAAAAAGACACTGTGGAAAGACTTAGAGACAAAGCCTGGGGTGCAGCATAGGGTATGTGGCTGGAGCTATGCCTGCCCTGATTAGGAAAATGAGAGAACAGGAGAACGCATTAGAAAGGGTTGTAACTAGTGAATACAGTCCAAGACAGAAAGAGGAGCAACTGACAGAGGGAGCTGGGTTCATTAAGCAGAGCCCAGAATCCTGCTGCCATCCCAGGTCTAAGCCGTGGAAACAGTTATTCAAACCGAACTCAACCAGAGCAGACACTTTTTTTACTATCTGTAATCTATATGTACATGTGTACATATATGTACACATACATATATACACACATGTGCACTTATACATGCACATATGCATACATTCAAATATAATATAATTACCCCCAAACATAACTAGAACATGAGTGTAATATAAATCCATACATACAATATTTCTAGCACCTCCATCATTTTTATTTCCATACCTCTCTTTATCATCTTGGTTATTTCCCAGATTATATTCATTCAGATTGTTTTCCTTTCAGTTTTTATTGGTTTCTATAGAAACCTCTCAAATTTACCTGCTTCATTATAGTAGTTGGAATTGATAGAGCTAAGTGGAGAACACATTCGTTTTTTTCACCTACTTCCTTTACAAACCTGTTCTCTCAAGTAGCTTTTCCTGCCTCTGGATGAAGTCTTTGGTAAACCCCAGATCGGTGCTACTCCTTTTTTTTGGGAAAGATTTTTGCTATAAATGGTGCATGCATTCGTCAGAGAGACAAAGATAGATAGAAAATGTGAGAAATCACCCCAGGGGGGTTGGCCACGTTGCAGTCCCTTCTCCTCCATTCTCCTCTTGGGATTTCAGGAACAAAAGCACATGTGCCAGGTATGAGTTTCAAGCCACCAGGTCTAGGACTTGAACCACAGTTGGCCAAGTGGGAGTCCAGCACCTTAACCACTATGCAGCCTATGAGCCCCTGTGCTACTCCACCTCACACAATGGTATTTCAGTCAATATAGAGAAGTCTAGGCCAAGACCAGTAGATGGTGTAATGTTTATATCACTGGACACCCACATCGTTGACCATGGTTTGAGTCCCACATGCAGTGACTTCAGACACACACACCAGGCACATGTGCTTGCGTGCCCAAAATCCCGAGAAGAGATGAAGGAATTGCAGCATGGCCACCGCCCTGGGGTCTGATTTCTAGCTTTCTGTCTCTCTCTCTCTCTTCTCTCTGATGAGTGCATGCACCTAGAGCAAAACTTCCTCTCCAAGTATGTAGTGGGTAAAGTGGGTGAGGCTGGTGTCTTCTCTCCTCCATGCTTCCTCTCTGCATCTCTTGCTTTCAGCTAATCCAGGTCTGGGGAGGAAGGAGAGAAAGAAGTGATAAAGAGCAGTATGGTGACCCTCTTGTGATGGATCCTTGATGTCTGCCAGATGTGGTGAATGAACAAGTTGTGTTCATTTGTGAGTTCTTCAGAGACACCCAACCTTGAAAGAATCTTTCAACTGAAGTTCCTGTAATGCAGAAACATCAACTGACTGCTTACCACTTCCCTCTTAGTGTTCTAGCTCCTAGGGGCCACGCTCCCCTCAGCCGCCTGAGCTAGCCTCCTGGGCAGAATTTCTCTCAGGAAGAGCTAACAGAGTTCCTCCCTTCCCCAGGAGGCCCATAGGAGTTTGGCCTCTCTGTGGCCCTTCTGCTGGAACCTCACATGCCTTGAGGAGAAGGAGAGCACTTAGCTCAACTTGTAGAGCAAACTGGTGTCAGCCAGTGGCACTTTGCAACCTATGAGCCCCTGTGCTACTCCACCTCACACAATGGTAACCCACAAACGGCCAACTATTTTATGTAGATAACTAGGCAAGAAAATTCACAGAGGATGATTGCAAAGCAAAGCCCAGGAGCTCTATATTATTAGCAGATCTTAAACCCAAACCTTCTTGTAAGGAGAACTCTGGAAAGGTGACCCAGAATACCTTTATACCTGTGACTCATTTGGCCTCCACAGACTTTGATAAAAGGTGATTCCAACAATACCAGGAGAAAAACCAAACAGGGACAGAGAAAGTACCTATGTTTGCCTAAGATGTTATTGGCTGAATGAGTTCATATTGCAGCCATTGAAGAGGATGTAGTGGAGAGAGAGAGAAAGAGAGGGAGAAAGAGAGAGAGAGAGAGAAAAGAGGAAGGAATAAAAGAGGGGAGGGAAGGCAGGCACCTCACTGCCCTACCTTAGTCATCAACGTGCTGAACACGGCACTCCTGAGATGCACCTGCACATGCATTACTGTCTGTCCACCCACCCCATCACCTGCTGATTCTGAAAGCATGTCCTCCTGAGTTAGACTGCTGGTCAACCCTCCTCAGCGATCTCTAATCCTAAAGCTTTCTAGGTCTTGAACCTCTAGGTCTACCAATTCCCTTTGAGCAATATTCTCTTGACTGGTTTCTCAGATTCTAATTTTTTTTGTCCAAACTTGTGTTAAAAAAAAAAAAACCCTTTGATCATATTTTCAGCCCAAAAGTCTTCATTCAAAGCTCAGACAATGGCCAGCAGCTCATCTGTGTAGCTTACCAACATGTCTCTCAGGACAATCTAAATCTTTTCATGGCCGCTATTGATTTCTGCCTCACAACTAAAGGATATTTGCAATGCTTCCCTTAATTTTGTCATTTCCGTATGCTTCCATGCTTTGGTAATGGGATAGTAAGTAAATAAGTCAGTAGATGTTAACAGTCTCATAATAGTATCCAGAGCATAATAAGCACATAATGGGGACCAGAACATGGCATAATGGTTATGTCTCTGGACTCCCACAGTCAACCATGGTTCAAGTCTGAGACTTGGTGAGTTAAAACTTATGCCAAGTGCATGTGCATGCATGCCCAAGATCTTGAGAGGAGAATGGAGGAGAAGGAATTGCGGTGTGGCCATCCCCTCTGGGGGGGGGGTGATTTCTTGATTTCTGTCTCTCTGTCTCTGTCTCTCTGGTGAGTGCACGTGCCCCATAGCAAAAATCTCTCTAAAAAAAAAACAAAAACAAAAAAAGCACTAACAAGTGCTAGCTCTCATTATTATTATAAATGTAATATTAAATTATCTCTTTATAAATGTAGAGTAAATAAATTTTGGTTAATGTCAAAAGATAAAATGAAGTCTGTCTTATCATCTGCTAGTGATTTTCTTATTGGTGTGAGGTAAATTGATTTGGATTAATGCTGGTATTAAAAGTTTTAAAGTTTATTTATTTCTTCCATATTTATTTTAAAGTTTATTTGTTTATTTCTTCCATAAAAGAGACAGAGAGAAACAGAAGAAATGTAGAATGAACCCAGGTTCGTGTCAGAAGCTTAGTAATTCCAAGGCTATGGGTTTTTATTTTTCTTTATGTGTTAAGCACCTTAAAAATTATTCCTAAGTAAAATTTTCAAAAAGTATTATTATATACAATGTAACTTTTTGGCAACATCTTTTATTATATTTTTCCACTTTTTTCAGGGGGAAAGAGAGGCAGGCCTAGAATCCCCTCAACTCTGAGAAACAAAGTCCCAAGGAAAAGAGTCCGACCAAGAGGTAAAAACATCATTTTAAAAGGTGAATACATGTTCAATAACTAAACATCTAAATTCTCATCTGCTGTTCTGTGCTTTTGGTAACAAACTTATGTCCCTGATGGCTTTGTGCAGTTGTACTAACCGATGAGTTGTACTAACCAGAAGTTTGGTCAATTTCCAAAATGGGTCAGAGAGAGAGAAAGATGCTGACACTGCACACGAGTAACTTGATAACGAATCTGCAACCAGACCCAGGTCCACGGGTCCTGCAGTGTTACCTCTGCTGAGCTGTTAACTGTCCAGGCTGCAAATCGTCAGAGGCATTTAAAAACCACGTGACTCACAAGTGATGTAGCCGTCCCTCCTCTTGCCCATCATCCTGTTGCAATAGTGTAGGCATGGATCTGTCACTTCACCTCTTCTGCCTCTTTACTCATCTGTAAAGTAAGTTAGACTGACTACCCTTTGAGGTCCACCCCAGCTTCACATGTGAATTTCCCACTGTACTCAGTAAGGACCTTGGACGGCCCCCCACTCCTGATTCTTAAATGTGGTGCCCCTGTAGAGTGTCTTTAATGACCCCCAACATGGCTGGCTGGAGGGGCAAGAACAGAAACTCATCATTCTGAAGTTCATTTTAAGACCTTACACCCATTTCTACAGAATCAAATGTTCAGCCTCCTTACCTCACCACTTCCATGTTGAAGTTCTAAAATGTAAGGCCTCCTTCCAATACAACTTGCAGATGATTCTAGAAAACTCCACTGGGTTGCTGTGAAGTAAAACAGCAGAGAAGACAGCACCTTCCCCTGCTAGGCTGCCTCATCATCATCCCGTTCTTCACTCAGCCAGTCCCTGGCTCAAATTTACAGACAAATTTGCCAAAATGTAGACAAATCTGTCTAAAACTACTTCTCTGGCCACACAACTAGAACAAAAATTGTTCTGCTTGAGATTTTCCACTAGGAGAGCAGAAGTATATTTTGTCTGCTCCCAGTACTTGATAGTGGCCGACTTATTTAGAAATTAAGACATTGAACAGTCCTTCTAGACGGTCCACACCCTTGCTGCATTTACCTAGACAGAGTATCTATGAAAAACACCTAGTCCAGGCCCCATCCACAGGTTCCCCACCACACTGTGATTCCCTTGCTGTCTCTATGTTCAGCTCTCTGCCTCCACAGACCCATTTAGCCACCACCTTCACCTTCACACTTCTCAAGGGTGAGCCAGAGAGCCTCTCCTTCCCTGTCATTTCCAAGGACAGAGATCCTTCTCTTGCATGGATGTCTTATTTTAAAGTTTATTTGTTTATTTCTTCCATAAGAGAGACAGAGAGAAACAGAGGAACAGATACCCGTGACAGGGTCCCCATACAATTTATCCCAGTCTCTGCCAGCCCAGATTATGGGCATGCATGCACCTGGTGTGTACAAGGAGGTCCCAGGATGTGAACCCAGGACCTTCCCATGTGGATCCCATTGTGTTACCACTATGCCACCACCTGACCCTCCAGCAAAATGTCTCAAAATATTCTCACTTGAGTTGATGGCAAGTAGATGTCTGACAACCCTCTCCAAAGAAATGTAGCTTATCTCATGAGGCCAGGCAGTAGGGAAGGCTAATGCTGACAAAAACAAGCCTCCTTAGCCCTGACACATTCTATGCATCCTGCCCAGGGATGTAAGAACACTGGGCTCCTGTTGTATTGTTCTTGGCCCTTGAGGCTTCTTCAGATCCCTTGAAAAAGCCAGAGTCACCTGAAGACCCTGACACATTTTTGCACAGAACGGTTAGTCCCAATTATTAACAAAATTATTTGATAACTTCATTTTTTCTGACTATATTATTATGAGTAGGGACCACTGGGGGATTTTAGTATTATTAGGTAGTTATTAAGACTAGTAGACCCAAGAATAGTTCAATCCTGCTTTGTCTAGTTATTTGACTTCCTGGATGTAAGACAACGCCCAAGGTGCTGGAGGAAGTAACACACAAAGAACCATTGTAAAGCCAAGTTCAGCAGCACTTTACTAAATATGATCTGGTCTTCAGCCCAGTTATCTCCTTGCTAAGAACTGAGGTGGAGAACAATAAGCTTTTGTTCCTTTGTCCCAAAGCTGTCTTTCCTCCATGAGTTTTCATTGAAAGGAAAGTCTAGCTAATCCACTAGGTCTAGAAGGATTTAAACAGAGAGAGACTGAGAGCAGGAAGGTGAATGTTGGCCAATAATGGGTATTGCTCAATGGACCCAGGGTATGGCCAGGGCTGGGACTCTAGTTTGGTCCCCTATGAGAAGCGAGAAAGCACAAAGCAAGGAAAAAGCTTGGGAATCTTCTCATGGACCTTTATTTATTTATTTATTTGAAAGATTTTTGCTATAGGGTGCATGCGCTCGCCAGAAAGACAGAGAGAGACAGAGAGACAGAAAGCAAGAAATCTCCCCCAAGGGGGATAGCCATGCTGCAATCCCTTCTCCTCCATTCTCCTCTCAGGATCTTGGGCACACACGCACACATGCCCAGCATGAGTTTAAGCCACTGGGTCCAGGACTCGAACCGCGGTTGACTATATGGGAGTCCAGTGATGTAGCCATTTTGCCATCTGCTGGTCCCCTGAACCTTGATTCTTATGGAAGAGGGTGAGAGAGCGAGAGTTCCAGCCTGTCAGTTTTCCTGGAGGCATCTTTGCTATAGCATGTGACAAGAGGGAGCGTCACACACTGAGCCACACCTTTCTGAATGACCTTTCACCCCTCACAACCACACCAACTATCAAACTTGGTCCGATCACATTCTTTGAAACTGATCAACCCAGAGTAAATTTTTCTCTGAGAGACAAACCACAAGTGTGAAGAAAGCTTCATCTACCTCTTTGAGGTCTCTATTTTTCCATTTTACTTTTTTCTCTTAAACTTTTAGTATAAGTAGCCAAGTTTGTTATTCTTTCACACAAGTTTCCTATCTTTCTTCTCCACATGTCTCCATGAATGAATCTATATCTTAGTAGACTTTCTAAGGGTAACATTTTATAAGGTAGAACACATTTAGTCTTAAGATATGATTCCTCCTGGGGTCTGAATTATCACAAACATGTCCCCTGGGGCATTTTTATCTTGATGAGGTTTTTAAAAAGTTACCGCAAAGACCGAGAAAGTAAAATGACATCATTGGGGCCACTGGGTGGTGTGGTGGTTGAAGTGCTGGATTCCCACATGGCCAACCATGGTTTGAGTCCAGACCTGGGGACTTGAAAATCACTCTAGGCATGCATGCATGCCAAAACTCCCAAGAAGTGAAGGGAGGAGAGGGAACTGCAGTATGGCCATCCCCTATGAGGTTATTTCTCACTTTCCCTCTCTCTGTCTCTCTCTGGCAAGCGCATGCACCCTATGGGGAGAAAAAGAAAGAAAAGACACCATCAACCCCAAGGCTTCTTTGTGTTTGATTGAGAAAAAGATCCTTTTCAGACCAGCTGTTAGCATAATGGCTATGTCGCTGGACTTCCATGTAGTCAACCGTGGTTGGCATCCTGGACCCGGTGGCCTAAGCACACTTAGGGAGCAACTTGCTCTTTTTTTGGACACACCCAATCAACTAAAAAATTAGATACAGTGTATTACATTAATCTGAGATACAGCTTTTTTAATTATTTAATTTCATTTATTGTTATTACTTATTTTTAATTGAACTATAGTCAGTCATGTGGGAGTCCAGTGCCTTAACAACCATGCCACCTCCTGGTTCCCTGATATCTTTTTTAAAATATCTGTTTATTTAATTTATTTATTATTATTCTTCATTTTGACTAGGGAGAAACACCTGCCAGCCCTCCCTGAGATATCTTTTAAGTCAATCCTTTGTATTCTCTTCACCTCTACAATTCTGAGACTTCATTTCCACAAATTCCTCTTGAGTAATCCTGATTGGGTTAGTTTTTAAGTCCTTGGCCATTTTCCCCACCATTTCAGTTCGGATTTGTGGCAACTGTCTGACCAATAGAGTCAACCATGAGGTCTGTCCAAGACCTCATATGGCTGGACTTTTTTCTTAGTTTTGTTAATCTCTGTCTCTTTCCCAAGGAAAATGTTCAATACCTTTCTTTAATTTGCATGTTTATATCTAAACAGCAATTTCCTCCTCTGAAAAATGAGTGTAATATTAATACCTGCTTGATAGACTTGTTCTAAAACTGAAGTCAATTTCTAGAGGCAAAGTTTGAAGGACAGTTCCTGCCCACAAGCACTCAACACATGTTCACTTTCTTTATCATTCCTACCTTTTGGCTGGGAAACACGTGCAACATTTCAAATGTATCTGGAACTATTTGAAGATCAAGCAATACAGAAAGAATCTCGGCTAAGTATCATCTAACTGTCTAAGCTAGGGGTCAGCAAACTGCCGCCCCCAGGGCAAATCCAACCCGCCAGCTGTTTATAAATAAGCTTTGTTGAGACACAGTTACAGCCACATTCTTTCCCTTGCACAGTGCCAAGGAATGCTTTTATGCCTCAACTGCAGAGCCAAGGGGTCGCAAGAGAGGTTCTGAACTGCAAAACTGCAGGTGCGTACTGTACGGCCCTTCGACTTCTGAGCGAGGTGTTTGACATTTTCTTTAAGTATTGCACAGGCTCCCAGAAAGTTATATTTGAATGGTGTATTTTCTAAAACACTACTATTTGTGATGAAATGTTATAAACGAGAAACATTTATGTTGTTTTCAGCTTTTTCAGAGAGAGAAAGAATCAACACTGGACCTATAAAAAGAAGAAGAAGAAAGGGTAATAAAATGATTAACTCAATTTTAATAATTAAACATCACAGTTTTTTTACTTGGCTTGTGGAACTGGGACCAAATATTAGGGTCTTCATGGAGCTCAATTTTGCCAAAGCGATGGCTAGGTTGGTGATAAATCCCACACTGTTAACTAGCCAGCTAATCTGGGAAAACCTCAGGTCTTGTAGGTTCTGTTCAGAGCTCCCTTCATTGCACCGATAACATTTGTGGTTTTGTTTTTTGGGTTTTTTTTGGAGAGATTTTTGCTATAGGACACATGTGCTCACCAGAAAGACAGAGAGACAGAAAGTGAGAAATCACCCCCTAGGGGGATGGCCACACCACAATCCCTTCTCCTCCATTCTCCTCTCGGGATCTTGGGCATGCACACACATGCGCCCAGTGTGAGTTTAAGCTACCGGGTCCGGGACTCGAACTGCGGTCGACTACATGGGAGTCCAGCGACATAGCCATTACATCAACTGCTGGCCCCCACACTGATAACATTTGAAGGGGAAAATATAAAGAAAAAAGTATAAGCCCAGCCCCATAGCCTAGTGGTTAAGAGAGTCAGATCTCGCATAGCCACCTGCATGGTTCAAATCCTAGCCCTGATATTTTGAAAGACACTTGGGTACCTGTGCATGCATGCCCCAAATCCTGACAGGATGAAGAAATGGAGCAGAAGGGGTTGTGGGATAACCACACCCATTGGGGGTGCTTTCTCCCTCTCCCCTTCTCTCGCTCTCTATCTCCCTCTGATTATCAAACACACACACACACACACACACACACACACACACACACACAGTGCGACCCACGTGGTATTTAGCTGGCCCTTCCCTTGCTTACGTGGAGAGCCACAGCTCCTACCAAAAGGGACCCATGTCCTAACCTTTCTTTAACTGTGACTTTGGCCTAGCATTTGAACTGTTCTGACTGATTTCCTCAGTTAGCAAGAGGGGATGGCTGGTAAATGAGTTCCGTGCCAGACTCGCCCGATTCTCATAGTCTGTTTATCTCCAAACCGACTCTGGGAGGGACGTGGGCATCCCTCCTCATCCCAGAGGGAAGCCCCAGCTGTGTCTTTAATGGACCCTCTCCCCCATCGACTTCGATGGAAGGGCAGGAGCACGCCCTGACCTTCAGGACCCTTTTGGTGTGGCTCCACTCACGGTGTGCAGGGGCCTCTCCTTGAGCAATTTACAGTTTCCTCTAGAGCTCCCCCACTTCTGCCTCCACCCTGGCCCCTCAGCCAGTGAGAAAGCTCAAGTGAAGTGGAGTGAAGCAAAGCTGGACGCAGGGAGGGACACTGGGCTCCTTGCCTTCAGCCGAGCCCCCTGCAGCCTGCTTTCCAAGGTGACACTGTGAATGGGAGACAAGACTCACACTGGAGGGTTCTTTCCTCTATCCACAAAACTTCAGAGCAATGACATGACTAGAAATCTTCCTCGGCGCATCCGGAAGAAAGTCATTGTGCAGTAGGTATTGGTGGCCAGCAAGTTCGGAAATTCTGATCCTGCCACACAAGGCTCGTGCAGGGTTTTAGAGGGTGGGAGTGGGGGACACCATCATCCACATGCACCTAACCTTCTGTTAAAGATGGAGCCAAGTCCTGGGGGAAGCCTCCCAACACATTTTAAGTTATAAAAGGAGGATCTCAAGATGGTGGGGAGAGACAATGCACAGTTATAGAGGAAGATGGATTTTTTTTTTTCAATTAAAAAAATGATTCCTTGCAGGTCCAAGAATTCCCAGAGACAAAAATATAAATTTTCAACTTGATCAACTTCCTGTGACCTGTGGCAAGGTGAAGGGGACTCTGTACAAGGATAAATTAAAACTCGGTGGGTCTCGCGGTCTTTCACACTTTTCCACTGGAAACGCCCTGCAAATTGCCCCTGCTGAGGGAGGAGGCACCTGTGTTGGGGGCTCCAGGATGAGCCCTTGGTTTGGTGATTTGCCTTAGTTTGGAGCTCTGCTGGGGTTAGGGGATAGTCAGGCTCATGGCAGGAGTTTATTAACGTGAGAGGATGTAAAGCAAACCAGAGAAAGGGAAAGCACACGACTGGAGTCCAGAAGAGCCCAACAGCGGCTTCCAGGAGCCTCTCCTGGCACGTCACCCAGCCGTACTTCATTTCCCCAGCAACAAACTGAGTCTACACATGTTACGTGTTGTCTCCCAGCAAAGCGACCTGAGTCTAGGAGTCCAGGGTTTTACCAGGAATTAGTTATATAGACACCGTCTGCCTATCACCGACTAAAATTCCAGACCCCCTGAAGGAAAGCAGGTGTCCAGTGTACACCGTGTCATCTATACAGGGTGGGCACGACGAGCCTCTCTTGTGAACTCTGGGAAGGGTGGGACCCCACCCATCCCCAGCCCACGGCCGACCTTCACACAGGCCCTTCCCGGGAGGATCGCAGCTAAACTGACTCTTCTGCACAGCACCCCAAGTAGACTGGAGTCACTGTGGCGTTTTCAGACTTGGGAATTCAGGAAACATTAGCTCACCCAGTCATCTCTGCGTACCCCGGGGAACAGGCCACAGATGTCCACCTGTCACCCAGCACAGGGCAAGGGCTTCAGTAGCTGGTGGAAAGAACACGGCTGACAAATTCAAAACAGCTTTCACAGCCCCACTCCCTGGGATGTCTGTCCAGCCTTGTGCTTAGTGGGAAGAGGACAGGAGGTAGAATCAAAAGAGCTGCATTCAGGCTTCAGCTATTCCAGCAGGGTCTGGTTCACCCGTGGTAAAGTGCATAGTCCCCTCTCTTATCCTCAGGATATACATGTGAAGACCCTAGTGGAAGCCTGAAATCGCCAATAGTATCACCCTATACACACCCTGTGTGCTTTTGTGGCTGACAGGTGGGTAGGGTACATAGAGTAGATACACTAGACAAAGGTGATTTATGTCCTGGGGGGGATAGAGAGGGACAGTGCAAGGTTTCATCGTGCTGCTCAGAACACTGCACAATTAAAACATGAATTATTTCTGGAGTTTTCCATTCACTATTTCCGTTCTGCAGTTGACCATGGGTAACTAAAACCATAGACTGCAAAACCATGGATAAGGGGGAATTACCCCCATATGGGTAGTAGGGAGTCTCTCTAACCCTAAACTTCCTCTTGAGAAAAATGGGAATAATGATACTTGCCTCACCACATTATTATGATAAAAAATGAGATAACAGACATGCTTTGTGAATTATAATGATTAACCTACAGCACCAGGGTTTATCTGTTGTGATGAATTCCCTCTCCCACAATGCAATTATTTGAGTACCAACATGTGTAAATGTTTGCCCTTTGACTATACTGCATATGTGTAATTTAGTTTTTCCCGCTAGATAACACTTCCATAATTACTTGTAATATAAAGTAGCCATAAGTCCAAAATGTGAGAAATAATTGATTGTCATTAGCTAAATGAACAGCGCGGTACAAAATGGAGCCAGTGTAGCCACAGCGTTGGCTTCTGCATGGCCGCCTGGATGCATGGCCATGGACACAGAGCCCCGCAGAGGGTTCTGTTCCCTTGTCCACCTCTATGAAACTCAGGCTGGCTCTCTCCCAGGGTTACAGAAAGGAAGTCAAAGAATACTGTTCATTCTTTAGGAGCCATAATTTATTTGCTCATTTGAATAAAAGACAAATATTTTTAGAAGGTAAATATTGGTGGTAATCATTCTCACTGCAGAGAGGTCAAAGAAAACATTGGGTTGTTGGAAAAGTCATGATGTGTTTTTGCACAGGAAAACACATGTTCTTGTATGCAAAAACACATCATGACTTGCAGACAACCCAATATGTGTTTTGCAAGGAATGCGCTTCTACCTTTGGCCTGACTTCAGGCTGGGTATGTGGCCAACATATTTAGGAGAAAGACCTGGACTTTCCTGCCACTGGTTCTCAGCCCAGGATGGGTAGCTGCAGATGCCATGTGTTAGGCCAAATTTAGGTGTTTTCACCAGGGAGTTCAACTTGCCTTGGTCTTACAGGAATCTCAGTGAAGTGCATACAGAGTGAAGATGGGAGATGGTTCACTCCCAGGGAATTTGAAATTGAAGGAAATTACAAACGGTCCAAGAATTGGAAGTTGAGTTTACGCTGCGGTGGATGGCCCCTGAAGTGGCTGATCCAGGTACTCTCGTGACCAATGGCTTAACTCAAGGATTAGAGTCAATGATTAGCCAACACCAAGCTTTAGCAAAATTTCACAATGTCCAAAAACTCGTCCTAACCTCCCTTGCCCTGGTCACACTACATGTTTTGTTTGTTTGTTTGTTTGTTTGTTTTGGTCACACTGCATGTTATTGCTAACAGCCCCCACGAGTTGCCTTGGGTGCCTTATGTTACAGCTTAATCCTCCAAGTGCATTAACTCTTATACGTCTGGAGGCAGAACCATAAATTGTGGCCTTGACTCTGCCACTAAGAACTGCCATTTGGTCACATGAAGGTAACTTGGAAGAGGGGTCTTAAACTTGGGGGCCAATGTTAAAAGTAACATAGCCAAAGGATATATGTGACATGCTCCCATATGGGTAGTTCTGGGTTACAGAATATTTCAACAATATTTCTTTTGTAAGGCACCTCAGATTTATTCTTGGAAGAGAATATAAAGACACTGCACTTAAAAATAATTCCTTTGCTGTCCCCCTGGTGTGGATATCAACCCCCTGGTGTGGATCAAGTAGAAACAAGGTCTCTGTTGGGGTGACTAAATACGTGGTCATTCTGACACATACCCCAGAAAACACTTCCTTGTGCAGTGTAATGATTACAGAAAGGATTTTGCCCAGCAAATATTTATTGAGCTACATCTAAACTCCCAGCAGAATATGGTATGAACCCCTAATCAGGAGGACAGCTGCAGCTCATGACCATAGACTGTCCGTGTGTCAATGACATAACAAGAGTTACCAGCAGGAAGAGATGCAGGGGTTGGGGGGAGAGAGTCATTTCTGGCTTTGAGTTGAAGAGCAGTTTCATGGAACAGTTTGCACTGAGCTGAGCCTTAAAAGATCAGTTCTGACAAGCAACAATGTAGAATCAGACATTCCATACATTGGAATCGTGGGTAATGAGACTCTATATGTTCACTGAGTGGACTGTAGAGTCGTGAGGCCAGAGGAAGGCACCTAAATACCTCCAGCAGCCACCAGGAAACTGGAAAGTCATCTCCATGAAGACACCTTACGTTTGAGTTGACAGTGGGACATTCAGCTAGAAACATCTGGAAGGCAGTCAGAAATACCAAGCTCACAAAACAAAGACAAGGACCTAGCATATCATCAATATTTTCTCTTTCAGAAAAGATTTCTGCCAGAGCCACCAAGAACATGGAAAAAGGTGATTATCATGTGACCTTCTGCCAGTGTCTGATCTGTCATATTGCTGATTTTCCATCGCTGTAGCCTATGGCTTTTTAATCAGCCAATTCTGGTAAATTTTTATTTTGCAAGATGGTGCTGTTGCAGTTGCTGGACAAATGTATGAGGACAGGACATTCGAACACTTGAGATAAGACAGAACTGTTCTTACGTGTGTGTTAGTAAAAGATCTGAAATGCTGTATTGATTTAAAATTAAATGTAAAATATGGAACTGAAGTTGGAAAGGCAAGCACAGTTTTGAAATGCACAACACAGTACATTTAATGACTACCAGCTTTGCAACTTCCATTTAAACAGTGTTAGGGGCCAGGAAATGGCACAACTCTAACACAATTGGACCCATAGGGGAAAGGTCCTATGCTCAAGTCTTGGGACTTCCCTGAGCAAGCTGTGATCCAGGCTGACTGAGACTGGGGGTGGATTGCCACCAGAAAACCCTATTGAGGTGCTTAAATATCCTTCTCTCTTTCTCTTTTCTCTCTCATTGAATAAATGAACTTTAGGGACCAGCAGTTAGCGTAATGGCTATGTCGCTGGACTCCCACGTAGTCGACCGCAGTACAAGTCCTGGACCCGGCGGTTCAAACTCATGCCGGGCACATGTGCATGCATGCCCAAGATCCTGAGAGGAGAATGGAGGAGAAGGGATTGCAGTGTGGCCATCCCCCCTGGGGGGAGGGGTGATTTCTCGCTTTCTATCTCTCTGTCTCTCTCTGAAAGAAAGAAAGAAAGAAAGAAAGAAAGAAAGAAAGAAAGAAATGAACTTTAGACAATAAACAAATAGAAACACTGCTTTTCATTGGATTTTCTGGATTCTATTTTTAATGAATTAAGATTGGAACTAAGGTTTTCCTAGAAATGTCTCATGGTCACTCCAGATGGCCTAGCAGAGAACTCCCTTTGGAATGGATATACAGCCACAGGTTCCCCAAGGAAGCAAACAACAAAAAACACATTCTCTCCCTTTCTTTTATATTTTCTCTCCACTACACATGCATGCACACACACTGCTTCAAGGGAATAATTTTTTTTTTTTTTGGAGAGGTTTTTCACTATAGGGTGCGTGCGCTCACCAGACAGAGAGAGACATAGAGACAGAAAGCGAGAAATCACCCCCCAGGGGGGATGGTCACGCCGCAATCCCTTCTCCTCCATTCTCCTCTCGGGATCTTGGGCACGCACGCACACGCGCCTGGCGTGAGTTCTAAGCCACCGGGTCCGGGACGTGAACCGCAGTCGACTAGGTGGGAGTCCAGCGACATAGTCATTACGCTAATTGCTGGTACCCAAGGGAATAATTTTCTTTATGACATTCCTGAGAATAGAGTGATTGGAAGGAAGAAGCGGCCAGTAAGGCTGCTGACCTGGGAAGCCTCATCCTTTGTAGAGAAGCCTTCGGTCCCAACAGAGGGGCCGTCGTCCTCTACGGAAGTAGAGTCACACATCACTTCACAACCTTTTGGTCAATGGCAGGTCACCCATACCACAGTTTAAACCATACAGCGAGGTGTGTAGTAGGCACGCCATCTAAGTTTGTAAATGCAGTCTAGATGTTCGCACAATGATGAAATTGCCTAACAATGCACTTTTCAGAATGTTAAGCAACGCCTGGCTACAGCGTGTGGAGCTCCTAAACCAGCGACTTCCATGCCGAATGGATTCCAGGTAAGGTGGTGAGATGATTGATAGCTTCCATGGCCTCTCCACAGCTGGGTAGAAGAGAGACACTGGTAAAGGAAGGAGATGGAAGAACTTGCATTTTTCTAACCTCTGACATAGGTGACCTTGGATAGTTGCCACAGTAAAAAATCAGTCTTCACAAAACTGGCTTCTGGGATTTCCTGATCCACAGGCTTTATGATTAAGACTCAATAATTACGTCTGCATCCACTAAATTTTCTGGAGGAAGAGACATTATTTGATCTTTTTGTTATGACCAAGCATGTCTACTCAGTCCCAGAGAGTCAAGGGTAACCCAGTCTGGACGGATCAGCTGAGATGGCTACTGCCCATCCCTTCATCACAGGTGTCCTCTCTCCATTCTCTATGAGCTTGTGGCTCTCAGGCATGTGACTACCTCGGCTCTCAGAGGGTCTTTCCAAAGGGTCTTCCTCCTCCAGCTCCAGACTTCTGACACCATGTCACGCTCAGCACCGTGTAGCACCTGCTGGCGTTGGTATCTTCTCTGCACATGAGTTCCTGTTAAACTTGGTGGTGATAGCTCAGGTACAACTGGAGGGATAATAAGACACAAAAGTGCAAGCTAATCGCTTACAGTCTGTGAAGAAACCGCTTCTCCCAAGTGACAATCGTGCTTGCTTGTTCATGCACTTATGTATCCATTTAACCAACAACTGTGGAGCAACTAAGCACTGGGTGATGTGTTTGGCCAGTGACAATGCAAAGGAGGCCAGAACAACGGACCTCTAGAATGGGATCAACCTCATTGTCCCACCTGCAAAGATAATTCATGGGAAGTGGGGCAGGGGATTCTGTGCACCTCAGAGAAGGAAGCAGTGACATGAATGTCTCTCTGGTCATTGTGGCTTGGATCACACTGGGTGGTTTGTCTATGGGCTGTTTGCTTGGGGCTGGAGCTAAAAGCTAGAAGAATCATTGTTGCAGACTGGAAGGAAGTCAAGTCATGCACAGATATCTAAAGTCTATGCAAGCTCTGGGGATTCAGAAGAAGGTGGAGAGGTGCTTACCTTCAGGAAGATGAGTTGCAGCACTGGGGACCTTGGGAGCATGCTAAATAAGGCAGTGTCCCCAGGAGACCTGCGAGAGCTAGAGGAGTGCGTCCCTGGGAAACTTGCATAGCCCCCAGGACTCTAGGCTCTGGGGTTACTGGGGGATCAATCCCTGTAGCAGCTCATGCCAGGGGGTGATGCTTCCTACTTCAGAGAAAAAGGCCTGTTAGCCACTTGGAGGAGGAGCACCAGTAGACTCTTTGGCACCATCTGGAAATAAGGGCTTGTCTCCCTATGTATCTTCACCAAGGCCTGCCTTGTGTCTGAGAGCCAGGGAATGGAAGTTGCATTGGGCCAAACCGTCCCTCACACATAACTGAGAGCTTTTTTTTATTCTCTAGTTAGATGTACACACCCATTAAGGCCCATTTATTTCATATTATGATAGGAAATAGAGAGGGTCATGATATGAATCCCTTAAAGAAGTCTACTCAAATCTGTAGTTCATGAAAAATTGTATTCACTATAGTCACTTAATCTTTCTCTTACAGAGAACACTGGAGAACAACAAAAACACATCACCTGACCCTTACGTAAGTACTAACTCCCTCTTATAACCCAGAACAACCTAGACTTTCCCTGGGGGCATTGCCAGTGTCAGTAGGGCTCTTCCCTGAAGCACACTCACTCTCATTGGAGTATGTCAGTATTTGAGATGAGCAGAGAGTACCAGATGCATCACTCAGGTCAGGTAGATGGGTCTGGGGTTGGGTGACTCAGTCCAAGAGCACCCTTTCCATTAGTTTCACCATAAACCCTCCCATTTCCTCATTTCCTCTCAAAAGTGAGTATGGGAGATGGAGCTCTGGACCACTGGGATCTCTAGAGGTGGAGCTTGAAGTGGTCCTGGACAGGGTGACCTGCTGGTTAGGGGAAGGAGCTACCAATATCTTAAGGAAGTCAGCAGGGATGGAAGGGAAATCTCAAACATCTACTCCTTAGTGCAGGCAGAGCACAAGATGACCCGAAGCATCAGCCGGAAGGAACAGGCCAGGCCAACCTGGCACATTCAAGGTGTGCACTCCATCATATGGACTCCAGAGAAATGCACACAGGGAAATTGGGCCCTTTACAGAGCCCCTGTGGCCAGTCTAATGGGAGCCAACAGGGTGTTGAGGTTTGGACTGAAAGTGCCAACACTTAGTAAATCATGAGGCATTTTTACTCAAACTGGCTGGTGCCTGATACTGTGCAAACCATTCTGAGCCCCTGGCCCTGTCCATTCCCTGCCTGTCCTATGGCTGCCTGCTTTAGGGTCTGCCAAAATCATGACTGACTCCCCTCTCTATGCTAGGTTATACTGTGATTTCTTTCAGTGCACTTAGATGGATATTTCAGGTGGGGGCAGCTTTTTATACAACTGCAGAGGGTACCTCTCCCTATAGGACACTGGGCAATTGGACTGACAGGGGACACTTACAGAGGAGAGAGTAAATGCAGTCTTAGGGAGACCTAGATACAGTCCGCTGCCGGAAGTGGGACCCTGGAGCAGCAGAACAGCTCTCGTCTCCGATGTCTGATGTAGATATGTTTCTTCTTGATATTTTGAGGAGAGTTACAAGTGTCACGTCAGTACATGAAAAGATCACGTGCTCTGGAGTGTCGACCTCCTGGGGTCTTGCTGATCACGTGATGTCTACATCATTTCCCATTCTAGCCAGGAAACTCAAACACTTGTGCAGTGTGCAGCCGATGGGGACGCCTGTACTGCTGCGATACTTGCCCAAGGTCCTTCCATCAGGACTGCCATATCCCACCTGTGGAAACAGAGAGGTTAGTAAGATGCAACCCCCTAGCCCCTCCTTCCTGTGTTATGGCTCCTGCAGAGAGAGCAGCCTCCTTAGTATCCGGATCCACAAGTGCCATCTGAGCTGTTTAATGATGCTGGCAGCAGCAGATTAATGGGAAGCAAAATTCCTCAAGTGGTTATTAGATGTAATAGTAAGCGGTGTTACCTCCACCCCACCTCCCTACTTGGTTCCCAGACCCACGCACTCTGATGGGCTGATGACATTGTGTGCTCACTGGCTGCTGGCTGACAGTGTATGCACCTGCTGTGGGAATGTCCAGCTGACAAAGCTGGTGTTGTAAAGAGCCTTCCAAAGGCCATCCCAGCAACCCATCACAGGGAACATGATCATAGGGGACTTGGTCAGACCTGTGAATTCTGTGGACACGACCCCCTGCTGTATTTTCTTTGCTGTACAATGTATCTTTGGACAGAGCTGGTAGTGTGTGGGGACACCAGTAGGATGCCCTGTGACTGGTGTGATGCGACAATTGCTGTGGCTGGAAGACGACATGTTCTGGGAATGTGTCTGCCCCTGAGACGATAGAGCATTGCCCTTCCGTAATGGGAGGAGAACTAGTGTGACCCGTCTGACCCCAGAATACCGTATCAGGGAGTTATACCCTCTGCCTTTGACTGGTAGGGTTCCCCAGAATGCCATATCAAGGAGTCATCATAACCTCTGCCTCCTGACTGCAGAGGCAGAAGACAGATCACCGTTATTGTCAAGCCCACGTGTAACCCCCATCTCTGCAGCATGAGCATTGATAACAGGCCCCTTGAGCAACCAGACTGGCTGTGAACAAGGAAAGGTTGGCACTGCTAGAATGGTTCATTTGTCCTCCTGATCATTGAGAGCCTCCCAGCTTAGAGAGCCTGCCAGAGACGATTAGAGAATGAATCTTGGGGCAAATGAAAGATATGTGGCACCATGTCTGTAGATTTCCCTTCCAAGAAGTTTGTTGAGCACAGAGTCTAAGTATACGGCAATGCCAGAGGAGAGAATGGCTATAGCTTATGACCTGTGCTTATTCAGCAAAGTTGTGAAACAAGGCCTGGTTTCCTGATTTTCACTATGGTCCGATTGGCTCACCAAGGCCCAAGACTCCAGGGTGCGAGGACTGATCTCCAATACTTGATTGTGAAAAACAGGGTGCATTCTCAAGGCTGATTGTGGCTCAGATGAGAGCCCCAAGTTTAGAGGTGAATGAGCTTTCATCACACATTGGGCCACTTCACTTGCAGGCTGTCACCCCTGCCACCACTGTCATTGGAAGGTGTGTCTTTGGCTAATGAGCCTTACTGGGGTGCTAATGCAGGGGCCTCCATGACAGAAGTTGAACACAAAACGGAAACCACCACTCATTTTTTTTTAATATACATTCAATCACATTGTTTAGCTTACAAAGTGAACACTTCAACATGTGAACACCTCTCCCCAGTCCAGTTGATCAAAATATCTTCAACCGATAACACCACACCTCCCCATCCCGTCAGTGCTCTGCCTCTGTATCCCTCTTCCAAATGACCTTCCTTAGGCCCCACTCCTCCACACACACCACATCTGGCATTCACACCCATCTCTTGTGTAAACTGATTGACTAAAGGTTGTACAAACCACCACTCATTCTTGAATAGGAGATTTTTGCAGCCATAGGAACAGTGACTGATTGACAGAACCTGCTTTTGCTCACTTTCTACCCAATCTTTCAGGGACCCATGGAACTGCATTTTCTGCAGGGTAGGGGCTATCCAGAAAAGGTACCCAGAAAGCCAACCATGTCATCAGGAACTTGAGGTGCTGATGAGGCTGATGCAGCCTGAGGAACAGCTGGTGAGTGTAAATGTGAACCCAATGCCCGCTCCTTTCCACCCCCCTGAGTCATGGGACAGACACAGTCTTGCAGAGGGCTGGAGGAATGGCACCCAGCAGCAAATCACTGGTCCATGGTCTGCTTTGACAGCATGCCCTAGCAGTGGCAGTTGTTTTCCAGAGAAAACCCTGATTCCATGTTTGTTTCAGAGTCCACAGGCTTGAGAATCATGCGTTCTGTCTGAACATGACTGTAGGCTCATTCTCTCCAAGCTGCTTTTCATTGGAAATCTCTTCCCTCTTTTACAGAAATGTGAGCTGCTCCTCTTGAAGATCTATTCTCACCCCAAAAGCCTCTTTTTTGCCCCAAAGCCATTTTACGTAAGTAATAGGAAAAAAAAAAGAAAGAAAAAGAAAGAAAGAAAGAAAGAAAGAAAGAAAGGAAGGAAGGAAGGAAGGAAAACCCCTGCTACTGGCATTTGTCAGATTTGGATTTGCTTCCCGCTGGCATATGCTATTATTATATTTGCCTTATTCAGGGGGGTTTAGTTCAGGCTACTAGAACAAATGACCACTGACTGGATGGCTGAAATAAGAGACATTTATTTCTCCCCGCTCTGGAGTCTGGGGTTCCGAAATCGGAGTGTCAGCACATTGGGTTCCAGTGAGGGTGGCCCCCAGGTGGCCGATACCTGCCCTCCCCACAGCGTTCTCACATGGCAGAAGGAAAGTGCCCTCTAGAGTTTTCCTATTCGTGAGGGCTCCACCCTCCCCACCTAATCACCTCCCAAAGACCCCACTTCCTCATATCACATATTGGGGGCTAGGATTTCAACGTATGACTTGGTACAGGGGAGGCACAGACAGTCCACAACAGCGGTGTCTAGGGAGGCAGACTTGGAGCCACGCTAATAACACTCCCTCCCCTACGTTCCTCAACAGAGCAGAGACTCAGCCCAGGGCCTGCAGGAGCCCATGTGGTTAAACAGAATCAAGAAGAGGCTGGCCGAGAAGGCGTACTCCCGGGTGAAGGGCTTTGTGCAGGATGTGCGCCTCATCTTTAAGAACCACAAGGCGTTTTACAGGGTATGTGGGCCTCCTACTTCCTTTTTCCTTTCCACTAATCACTTTATCTCTCATCTTCTTGCATCAGGTGAATGTTACAACTGCCCTCATGGTGTGGCAAGCCCACACAAGTGAACGTGCTGCAAGTGTTCTAGAAGCCCAGTGATGAGTGTGGAGAGAACAACAAACCTGAAGGTGTCCTTAGAGACACAACCCTCGGACCTCTGAGTTTACTCACTCCTGGCTAGTCTATTTTCTCCCACGGACAACAGTAGCCTGCAGAGCTATTCACTTGCACAGGGAATACAAAGGTTTTTTTGTTGTTGCTTGTAGTTTGTTTTGCAATAGGGCACGTGTACTTGCTAGAAAAAGACAGAAAAGACAGTGAGAAATCACCCTTGGGGAATGGCCACACCATAATCCCTTCTCTTCAATTATCCTCTTGAGATTTTGGGCATGCATGCACATATATCTGGAGTATCCCTCAAGGCACCGGGTCCAGGGCTCGAACTCCACAGTCAGCCATGTGGGATCCAGCACCTTAGCCACCATGCTACCTGCTGGCCAACAAATGCATTTTATTTTTAAATTTTTTTCTTTCTCTTATTTTCTTATTAATTTCTTTTTTTACATTTAATCATGTACATCTTTATAACATACGAAATGAACTTTCCCAGCATGAATACACTGCATATTGGCCCAGTCAAAAATGTTACCATACATATCCCCATCGACAGATGATTTTCCATTTCTGTGTCCATTAAATGTCTTGCTTTTTTCCCTCCTTGGTTCCCTCCCTCCTGCCCCCCCACCCCCGTTCCCACCCTCCCCCCACACGGTCTCTGGTATCTGCAGTTGCTCTCCATGTTTTCACACCTTCCAGTCTTTTAGTTGCTGCCACAGAGTGCAGTCAAGTGCATTTTAAAGGCTACTTGTGCCTCTCTTCTCTAAAGGAAGATACCAAACCAAATTTTTAAATTTCACGATTTTGGATCTCTTTCTATCTGTATTTCGAGGACTTATTAACAAGTTAACAAGCATTACTTCAAGGCGTGAGAGTGAAAGGAAAGGGGAAATATCATTAATTTCCTTAGGCATTTCTGTACTATCATATTGTTACAGATAACATGTTTATAAAAGACATAGCTAAAATCATTAACAATTAAATCAATCCTTATTTTCTTGTCAGGAATTAGACTGCCACACAGTCCTATCACTGTTTCTCTGTCTTCCAGATAAACCAAGGTAACCCAACCATTAGGAAACGCGCTCCTGCTAAAGATGAACTCCCACTTAATCTTTGGGCTAGTCTGCAGTGGGGCTCCAAATGATCTGAAACACCAAGAGTCTAAGCTCACTGCATGGCCAATGGCTAAATTATTTTTGTCTTTGTTTTTGCAGGGCCGAAAATTCCTCGGGCTGGGACTTCAACTAGAGGCTGAATTTGAGAAGAATTTTAAAAACATTTTTGCAATTCAGGAAAGAAGCAATGACCGTTTTCAGTTACAGCCCACTGTTTTGTTAATATAGACCTTTGCTTTCGTTTATATTCTTTCTTTCTTTCATGAGAAAGAGGTGAAAAGAGACCAAGAATGAGGCCTTGACAGACTCCTCCACGCAGCAGTCCTTCCTATAGGCACTCCGTCAGACAGAATCGCGGGTGCTCAGCATATTCGAGTTGATCTGGGATCTGAACCTGGATCTTCTCTGTGACTCTGATGTTGTGTGACAGTGCCCCACTGCCTGTGCCACTGCAGCTGGGGCCTATGTAGCCAATTCCTGTCTACTCCCTTCAGACTTATACCATTAGCAGGACAACGTGCCCAAGATGCCATAATTGCTTTGCCTATTCCTGTGCAAACATCATACTGCTTTTTAAAAGCTTGGTTGTTGTTGCTCTCATTCCTGATCACTTATTTTTCTAAATAAAAGTTAAAGTTGTTTTGATCGAATTTTCTTATTGAATAATTTAGAGTGAAATTCATCATCCTAAGTATGGAATCTTTCTATAAAGGATCATACTGTAAGTTGAAATCCCCAATCCAAAAATCCAAAATCCAAAATGCTCCGCCATCCAAAACTCTTTGAGAACCTACATGACGCCACAAATGGAAGATTCCATATCTGACCCTGAATGATGGGTTGTAGTCAACCCTACTACAACACAAAAATATCATTTAAAATCACTTTCAGGCTATGTACATATGGTATATATGAAACATAAATGAATTTTGAGCTTGGACTTGGGTCCTACCCCCAAGATATGTTATTATATAAGTGCAAATATCCTAAAATGTTTAGAACCTAAAAATTGAAGCAGCCTGGCATACTTATTTTAGCACCCCAGAGAAGTTCCTGGCTTCACTGTGGGCATTCAGTGAGCCAGAAGTTAAGTTTCTGTCATGTAAGTCATCAGAATTCAAGGTCCGTTTATTGCTATAGCATTACCTAGCAAAAGCTCACTAATGAGTATTGGAAACAACAGAGGATTACTTGTAGGAGAGGATATTTTACTATAGAACCTCGGAAGAGAGACCATAAGATTGAATAGTGCAGACTTCCTTGACTTTGAAGTCCAAGCCTTTGAATCAGGGAGTAAGAACCTGGCAAGGCATCAGTACTGGCTTGTGGTGCTTAGGAAAGGAGGTAGAGATGCCCCAACCGCCCTGACCAGGATTAGAGAGTAGATCATAAAGCTCAGGGAGGGGGGACCAGCAGTTGGCATAATGACTATGTCGCTGGACTCCCATGTAGTCGACCACAGTTCGAGTCCCAGACCCCAGTGGCTTAAACTCACGCCAGGCGCATGTGCATACATGCCCAAGATCCCGAGAGGAGAATGGAGAAGGGATTGTGGCGTGACCATCCCCCCAGGGAGTGATTTCTCGCTTTCTATCTCTCTGTCTCTCTCTGTCTTTCTGGCGAGCGCACACACCCTATAGCAAAAACCTCTCCAAAAAAAATAAAAAAGCTCAGGGAGGCAGGAATGTTAAAATGGATGTACTGAGACCAAAACACCAGCCACATGGCTTTGTTACTACACAAACCCAGAAGACATTCCCTTCACTAAAGCAGTAAGAAATGCATTGGTGTGGGGTGCTAGTATTTTTGAGAGCCTCACTTCTGCCTGTCCTTGGTAAACTGATGTTGACCCTAGGTGATGGCTTCATGTAATGAGACTTCCTAGTGTCAACAGAGCTTATAGGATTCCAGAGGTAACAGCCCTGTCACACCACATACCCAGAAGATGCCTGGTGGATATAATTACAGTGATGAGTAGCAATGGTGAAGGGCCAGTTAAGAACCTCAACTCTTGGGGAGCTGCAGGAACACAGTCACAGTGTCCTGAAGAAGAGCAGAAGCCTAGGTCGACCTATTGTATTAACCAGGGCTCTCCAGATAAACAGAACATATAGGACACACACACACACACACACACACACACGTACACATGTGTAAGGGGTCTTCAAAATGTTCATGAAAAATATGTGCTATGAAAAAACTAGGCACAGGGACCAACAGTTGGCGTAATGGCTATATCGCTGGACTCCCATGTAGTCGACTGAGGTTTGAAGCCCGGACCCGGTGGTTTAAACACACCAGACACATGTGCGTGCATGCCCAAGATCCAGAGAGGAGAATGGAGAAGTGATTGCGGTGTGGTCAACCCCTGGGGGAGAGATTTCCTGCTTTCTGTCTCTCTGTCTTTCTGGTGAGCACATGTGCCCTATAGCAAAAACCTCTCCAAAAAAGAAAAACTAGGCATGGACCTCAAATGTTTGCACTAAAATAAACTCACTTTAATTCTATTTTCCATGAACTTTTTGAAGTTTGCTAATATAGTGAGTCCATTTGCATAATAAATTTTTCTTTCATATACACTAGCATATATAAAATACTAGTGTATATGAAAAGAAACTTATTTGGGGATTTGATTCACTTTGTATTTGAGAGGTCAAGAAGCCCTACCGTCTTCCACCTGCAAACTGAACAACCAGGAAAACCAGTGGCTCAAGTCCTAAGGCCTGAGAACCAGAGACCTACTGATGTAAATTCCAAATCCAAAGATCAGAGAACCAGGACTGGCTCAAATGACCAAAGGCAGGAAAGATGGATGTCCCAGCTCAAGAAGAGAAATTTATCTTTCCTTTGCTGTTTTGTGTATTTGGGCCCTCAATAGTTTGGCCAATGCCCATCCACATTAGTGAAAGCAGATCATCTATACCTCTTCTAGAAACACCTTCACAGGTATATCCAGAAAGAATGGTTTACCAACTATTTGTTCGTCCCTTAACCAGTCAAGTTAACACATAAAATTAACCATCACAGGAACATCTCACTCTCCCGTAGCAAGTAAAAGCTTGTCTGTTGGTCAGTTGAGCGCACCCCTCGGCTTCTGGCACCAGGGAACACTACGAGGTGGCAGAAGGTTGCTGAACAAAGTGGAGAAAGAGTGAGCGACCCTGAAGTAGACGTCAGAACACACCGGGAGCAGTGGGAGGATGAAGAGTGTGGTCTACCGTGCTTTTTCTCAGAAAGAGGCAAGAGAGTCCGATGTTCAGCATACAGGAACTGTGTGGGCCGAGGCCTTTGTGAAGGCCTTCCTGAAGCACAGCGTGCCCCGCATGAGCCAGCAAGCCCTGGAGGACCTGCTGCAGTGCAAGGCCGTTACTCTAGAGTATTTCACTTGCTGGAAGAGAAAGGAGAAGAAAGAGAAAACCAAAGGCCTCTCTGCCAGGCAGAGGAGGTAACTGTGGCTCTTTGACATTAAGCCAGAGCAACAGAAATACAATCTTTTTCTCCAGCTGCATGAACTTTGGAAGCAGTACATCCGGGACCTGTGCAATGGTCTCAAGCCAGACACGCAGCCACAGATGATTCAAGCCAAGCTGTTAAAGGCAGATCTTTGTGGTGCTATTATTTCAGTCCACAAAATCCAGATGCCCCTCATATGTGGGTGTTACAAGAATTTTTCTACAGGAAACCAAGGCTTTCGAAATTATCACCAAAGAGGACCACCTGAAAGTTATCCCCAAGCTAAATTGTGTGTTCACTGTGGAAATCATGACTTTTAAAGAGCTGGTTCAGCCAAGTCCAGTTATAGCTGACCTCCAGTCAATAGAAATCAGAGTTAAGGACATTAATGATATGGGACGATGCAGTGTGCTGAGTGACGATTCAGGAACAGAGAATGTGTATTTATAAGCAATCTTAATGTTTATTACTTCCATGGAGAGAAAAGACTGGTAGAAACATACCAGGGTTAACACTGGTGAACTTGACTAGCAGAATTTTTAGGTTATTTCTTTTTCATACTTCTTGATGTTTACTGAATGTTCTATGATGAATCAGTTGTTTATGTAATAACAATATACACATGTAAGCATAAACAGGCTGCAAATAAAGTAACTAGTCTTGAAAAAAAATTAACCATCACAGGGTCAGTAGATGGTATAGTGGCTAAGGTGCTGGACTCCCACATGGCCAACTGTGGTTTTAGTTCCAGACCCAATGGCTTGAAAATCACACCAGGCGTGTGAGTGTGCATGACCAAAATCCCTAGAAGGGACTGCAATGTGGCCATCCCTGTTAGGGAGTAATTTCTCACTCCTCCCCCTTCTCTGGTAATGGCATGCACCCTGCATCAAACAAACAAAATTATATATTTATATACCTTCTAAGATAGAGGCCCCCAACAACCCTCTCCTCGCTAGTCACACAGCAGGAGGTGAGTGGCAACTGAGCCAGTGAAGTTTCATCTGGATTTATAGCCACTCCCCATCACTCACATTACTGCCTGAGTTCCATCTCTTGTCAGATCATCTTCAGCGTTAGATTCTCATAGGAGAGTGAATCCTATTGTGAATTGCACAAACAAGGGGTGTGGGTTGCAAGCTCTCAAAATCCATCCCCAACTCCCACACATACCCCACCCATTCCATGGAAAAAGAGTCTTCCATAAGACCAATCCTTGGTGCCTAAAAGGTTGAGGACAAGTTAAACCTCCCACAGAAAAGAAGCAGCAGCATGAATGATTTAAACCTTCAGTATGGCACATTACTCAAGAAGACTAGCAAGCTACTTCACAATTGCATCAGAACCCTTCCACTCCAGGAGAACAACAATTTATCCTCATAGAAATTGATACATACCTCCAGACTTTTCCTAACCCACAGCTCCTCCCAAGCTCCATCATTTTACAGACTACCTGCTCTAGTTATTGTTATGCAGTTAACCATCAAAAAAAAAAAGAAACAATTATTTACATTCCTCATGATTCTATAGGTAAGGAAGAAGGGTTCAGCTGGATTGTTCTATTCCATGAGGTAGACATTTTTAATCTATCTTTAAGTTATATTATATCAATGCACAGATTGTATAAGACCCCTCTGAGTGCTCGTAGCCTTGACCTGCTGGCCTCCTGGCTTCATCCTCTCAAGTCAGGAAAGTCACCAGCTGTGGGAGGCTGCACACCAGCAAATATCGCTGGTTTCTCATAGAGCAAACAATTACACAATGACAAAGGCCATGATTGGCTCCCCTTCAAAAACCTCATCTTCAAAACCATACTCTGGCCACTAGAATCCCTCAGATTTGCATATCTGGCACCTCATGATTGGTCCACAAAGCAACCAATCATAACCCACCTTTTACAACCAATCACGGCCCACCAACATGTATATAACCACGATCCCTGGCCCACAGTCTCCAGACAACCATGAAAAGCCTGAAGAGTTGTAACACCGCGTCGTCTCCAGACGACCCTGAAGACCCTGAAGAGATGTGACACCGCGTCGTCTCTGGACGACCCTGAAGAGTTGTAACACTGCATCGTTCGTCCCGTCTCTCACTCCTTCCCTCAGGAAACCTGTTTGACTGTCATCTCCCCCACCCCGCTCCCCAGGTCGGGACAACCAGTTATAGTTGACTTCTTCCTCCTAGGTCCA